GCTGCGGGGCCGGGCCGGGGCCGGGGCCGGGCCGGGCCGGGCCCTGCCGGGACCCCCCGGGGCGCTCGCCCCAGGCCATGCCTGGCCGCGGCGCTCGCGGCGACCCTTGCGGTATGCGGCTGCCTTTGGCAGGGGCACATGAGGGATTTCATTGAGTGTGAAGACAGAGAGCAGAGACAGAAAGCAGAAGGAGGCGGCTGCAGCCTTTGTAGTCGGGGAGGAATGCGGAAATGTTGAAGCACTATGTCAAACTTTTTTGAAACGGGGTCAAGTCACATTCAGCCAGCGTGGGAAAGCAAGGGAAAAAAAAAAAGTTGAGGAGAGGGGAAAAAGAAAAAAAAAAAAAAAAAAAAAAAAAAAAGAGGCAGCAAGCTGCTGCTGCTCCCAGGCAGAACAGAGGCCGAGGGAGCGAAGGAGGAGCGGCAGCGCCGGGGCAGCGGCGGAGCGGCGGCGGCGCCCAGGGCCGGTGGTGCCCGAGCCCCGCACCGCAGGCTGCGGCCGGCGGGGCTGCCGTCGTGGCGCTGCAGCTCCCCGGGGGCCGCTGGCCGCGATTTTTATTTCGCGTTTTCCTTTTCCCCAGGCAGGGTGGGGGCGGGAGGAGCGGGCTGGGGGACGAGTGCGAGCTCCTTCTGCGCCAAGGTGCAGCCCGGCGGCGGCGGCAGGAGGATGCGAGCCGAGGGCGGCCGAGCCGCGGAGCAGCTACCTGTGTGGCCCGGGCGGCCGCTGCCGGGACCTGCCGGAGACATCGCCATGTGAAGGGGCAGACCCCAGGCCGGCTCTCCACCCCGCCTCGCTCAGTGGGAGGTTTGTGTTAGGGAGGACTCACCCCCTCCCTCCCCCCCCCACCCACCCCCCGGGGCTGAGGATTATTTGGGGAACTGGTGGCGGTGCAGGCGACCGTGGCGCACACCAGGTAACGCGGGGCGCCCATGTGCTCCGCGCACCCGGCTCCGCGGCGTGGCCCACACGCCGCCCCCTCCCTGCCCGGCCCGGGAGCCCACGCCGCGCACCCCCCACCCGCGGGCGGCACCGCGGACGAGTCCCTTGGGTGGCCAGGCCGGGGCAGCGCAACCCGCGGTGCCGCCGCAGCCCCCTGGGGGTCGGCGCGGGGGCGCAGAGGGGACCGCGGGGGAGGGAGGGCCCTCCGGCGGAGCCGCCGGGGGGGTCCCCTCGTTGTCCCGCCGCGCAGCCGAGCCGGGCCGCCCCCACGCCCCGTCCGCTGAGAGGAAACGCGGGGACGCGGCTCCCCGCGTGTCCCCCGCCGCCACCCCCCGCCGCCTACGGGGCGCCCGCGGAGGGGAGCTCGGCGGCCCAGTGCGGGCAGCGGGGGCCGGGGGCAGCCCCGGTGCCCCGCCGTGCCCGGGGAGGGCGAGCACGGGTAAGTTTCCACGCGGCCGCGCCGGGGCACAGGCCCGCCGGCTCCGCCGCCACGCACGCGCGGCGCCGCTGCCCGCCGCCGGGGGGCGCCCTGCGAGCGGCGCGGGCCGGGGGGCGCGGGGGCCCCGCGCGGGGACCGGGGCGGGCGGGGAACCCCCCGGGGCGGGAGCGGGCGGGGATCCCCCAGCACCGCGGGGATCGGGGGCGGGCGGGCGACCCCCGGCGCTCGGGGGCGGGCAGGGGTCCCCCCGCGGTCGGTGTCGCCCGGTGATGCTGCAGAAGGGGGGCGCGGGGCTGCCCGCTGGCTAGGGCGGTGCGGTGGCAGCTGTGGTGGTGGGAACCGACGCCGGCGAGGCAGGGAGCCGCCTCTGGCTGCAGCCGGGGAGGAGGGATGAGCAGCGGGCACAGGTTTCCTTGAGACTGCTCTTTTCATCCGCAGCTAGGGTGTAAGATCAGCGTAAGTGTGCGGAATATCCCTGGCTTTGTGCGTGGATTCCACTTAGGGGATCCCCGACTGAGCTGTCTGGAGCTCTTTATTCCTAGCACGGTAGAAATGCAGTGTGGGAGAGAGCTGCAGTCCTGGTCACAGTATTGCTGTGTTAAAAAGGGGCAGGGAGAGAATCGATGTGAAGTTTTGTGAAGGGAGAGGATTTGCCCAGTCCTGCAGAAAGTGGATGAAACTGGATGTAGAAGGAAGTGCTTCTGCTCTCCAGCCTCATGCACTCACAGCAGAGCATGTGGTTCCTGAGGACATCTTTCATCATGCTGCTTTGCAAGGAACTGCCAGTGATACAGAGGTAGCAGTATCCACAGCCAAAACCCTTGCTTGTTGATAAGTTTGCTAAAGTGCACATTCCTGAATCTACCTCAGCCAACAATGCTTCATAATGTATTATTGTCCTTTAAATATGTATGTATTTCTCCTTCCCACAGGCACTTTGAGGCAGAACCTTGTTTCTTGCGGCGTGTTCATGATGTGTTCATGAAGGGCTAAGCACAGGAGAGAGCAGACCAAGGCAGAAACCTCTAAATGCTATTATTTGCAAGCAAGAGACAGTAATACAGCCTGGGATATCTTTCCAAGATATCACGTGCAATGTAGAAAAGTTCTTGGGCATAACTTCCTCTCACACGTGCATCATTAGCTGTGCCATCCCCATCACCCATGTCTCACAGGGTGGTCCTGTTTAGCCCATTGCTCAGTAAAACCCCCCAGCATAGCGCTGCTCTGTAGCTGTGTGCACAGCCTTCTGCGCAGACTGTGATAACTTTGTACTGTTGTATCAGCCACGGAGAGACGTTGATACATATGTCACCCTCGTGGCTCACATCCTCCTTTCCACCATGTTTTTGCTTTGCATGTAAAGTAATGAAGTAAACTAAACTCACTTTTCTTGCTTGGTTTGTCCTCCAGATCTAATTGGCTTTACACAGGCAATGCTTCCGAAGACTGTATGATAATTCCTGGTGGCTGAAAGAGGAGGCACGTTGGAGCCTGTACAGAAAAGGAACAAGAACAGGAGGGCAAGAGCTTCCTACTGCCCCTCTGGCAGAGGAACCAAGTGCGTGGCCTGTCTGCAAGTCAAGCAAAGTACTAGTTTTCAGAAAGTAAGCTAGACTGAAAGCCACCTCAAGGCACTTGGAACTCGAGAGGAAGAGGACTGGTGCCAGCATGGATAAGGACAGCACAAACCTGGCTGACCAACAGTATGAATATGTGGCAGAGATTGGGGAAGGAGCTTACGGAAAGGTGTTCAAAGCCCGAGACTTGAAGAACGGAGGTCGCTTTGTCGCGCTGAAGCGGGTACGGGTGCAGACCAGTGAGGAGGGAATGCCACTGTCTACCATCCGAGAGGTGGCAGTTTTGAGGCACCTGGAGACGTTCGAACACCCCAACGTGGTCAGGTGAGGAGGTGGGACCACTGTCCTGATCAGTGGAGTCCTGGGTTTAGTACGTGAATTGGGCAAGCAAGAGTTTGGGGACATAAATGGAATGGACGCTGGGTTTGTGGCTGAACTGAGCACTAAAATGTGTACGTGAAGTGTAGTTTGAGGTTACAGCAGGCCATGGTGCTGGCAACCAGACCTCACCTCATCCCTGTGCATTGCCTCCCACACACACAAACACCTATCTCCAGAGGCATAGATGCGTGACTTGAGTGTTGTAATGGATGGGCAAGGTGCCATATATACATTATTTCCTGGGGCATAAGAGAGGATAGAGAAAACCTCCCTGGTTTTGTCTGAGCTATTAGTACTGCCAGCCAGCTGATTTTTAACAGCTCTGTTCATTACAGAAATGACAAAAAATGAGAGCAGTAGTAAAATGTGCATTCTGCCTTTTTAGATGGTTTTATAGAGAGCTGTAGATTATCAAGTTAAACAGAAGTAACAGCTTAAGACTTGAAGCTTTGCAGGCAGCCTCATGGTTGAGTCCTGTTTGACTGATACTAGTTTCACTATGCGCTGCTGATTGTGCTACCAAGAATGCAATGGTACAGGTGTCAGACCTTGCTTGCAAAACGGTGGCAGTGGCTCCAGGATGTCCTTTCTGTCGTGTGAATAGTCTAAACCCTGTATAAATCATCTGTATTATTAATTATAAAGGTAGCCCTACTTTGACCTCCTAGAGTTTTCTATAGCTGGAAACCTTCAGAAGCCTGTGAGTATCTTTTATTAATACTATGAGCTTTGAGAGGTAAGGTTCACTTTGCAGATACCCAGATATGCAGTGATTTGAAACTGGTCAGCATCTTGCTGGTTGTGCTGTATTAGCAAGACTATTTTCTGTTCTTTGTGTTATTGTAAGCATATATTGCAGAGCAAAAGGAAAACATTTTGCACGTCAGTAACACCAGGCCTAGAGAAATAGACACTGGAGTTAGAGGTGACCTTCAAAATGCTTTGCACCTCTAATAATCCTTTTTTTAGGGTCTGAGATGAGGGCAGTTTTTATTAGGTACAAGAGGAAAGATGAGACAGAAGATTATATTTAAAACTCAAAAGTCAATAGGTAGAGATAAATTAATTTTTGTTCATTTTAAGACAGCATAGTGTAGCAGTCTTAGTTATGTCAAAACTGAATAGGCAAAGTGTTTGTATTCCAAAATACTGATAATGGAGTGTGTGTCGTCAGTCTCACTTCAGTGAGCAGTGGGATACAGGCTGCAGCTCAGACTTCTATTGCTAATCAAGCAAATCCACAGTTTGGTTAATAACCATTATTTTGGCTGGCGCCTAGTAATGCCAGGGGCTTAGTATATAAATTTCAGAAGTGGGGATATCTTTATGTGGGCAACGTATATTTGATCACCAAATCAAAGGGCTTAGTTTACAGAGGAGTGCACACAAGGTTCTTCTTTGGCAGTAGAGAGATAATTGGGAATTCTCAAAATCTCTGAAATCCAACCCATTAATTTATAAGAGTAAGTGAGGATTCAGTTGACCAGGTTTAGACATTTGGAAATTGTAAACCTTGTTTGGGAATAATTCAACATAACAATATTTAAGAATTTTTCTGCCTTTGAGGTCTTTCCATGTGAAGTAAAAGATTTTTTTAAGAGCTTTCTAATATTGAATTCATCAAAATCATGAAAATAAATTTCTTGTTTTCCAAAGAGCTATTTGATGAACTGACTATGCAGCTGCAGGCTTCTTTTGCTTGGTTTGAGTGCCGTCGAATCTGGACAGACCATTGCGTAAATATATTTGAGCTTCTAATATTTTTACAAGCTTGAATGCAAATTAATTCTCTGCAAAGCAGTAAGTATTTCAACCAACAATATGAGAATGTGACTTCAATATAAAAATATCTGAAGGTGTGTTCCAGGTCCTCGTAGCAGTGTTGCAAAGCCTGCGCCTTTTGCCATAAGCAGGATTTCAGACACAAGGGGCTGATCTGTGATGAATCAGGATGCCTGGGACCTTGGCTGCACACCTTTTTCCACAAACAGGCAGGGGAAGATAAGCAATTTGAAACATTATCACTTCTAAGATGTGAGGAATGCTGTTCAAAAACTCACCTCTTTTGTGCATGTTTTTAATCTGTAGAGCCCTTTGGAGTGACTGAAATCATATCCTTAAAATAGAAAAAATATTTGAGAATATTTAAATGGCTCGGTTCTGTTACAAAATACAGTAGAAGAGTTTGCAATTTATTGAAATTAAACATCTATTTTTGTATTATGTAAATATACTCAGAGAAGAGGAAATACTGTAAAAAAAAGATGAGCAGTTTTAAGTTGCCTACCTAACTACTCAATTATTGAACATATTGTGCTCAAAAAATGTTCATTGTTTGGGCATACTTTCTGGAAGCTGCTGTCATGACCAGGCTACTAAATAAAAACAATGCCAAATGCATTGTCTGCATACTGGATTAAAATGTACATTGTTTTCAGAGCACTGGGATAACAACACGAATATTTAACAACAAATATTTTTGATTTTGAGGGGATATCTGAGCTTTTTTCTGAATATTACTGGTAACTAGCCTGAGAGAACTGAGTTGGAACTGCAAGTATGTTGTCTGTTACCTCTGAGTAGTGGCATATGTGATCCACGAGTTGCTCAATGCCAACCAGTAGTCGTTCTGTGAGTCAAAGTCTAGACTTTAAAGAGATGAGCCGCCTACACGCTGTTCTCAGCTGTGGTACTCTGGCATCAGCTGACGGCAGTGGCAGAAATCACAAGCCACATGAACTTGGGCTGAGTGTCACGCTCAACTCAGATGTGGAGCTCAGCAGCCCAGGGCTTCTCTGTTGCCATGAAGTGTGCTAAACGTGAAGAACAGTTTCAGGAGGAAAGCCCCAGTGCTACCAGGCAGAGGTAGAGCTCCATGGCTTCACTGGTCATAGAACCAGGATTCAGGACCGGCATTGCTGCTGCAGGCTTGTTGTAGCGGTTGCAGATTCACTTCATCTGAGAAATGGTTAGAGCCAAAACTGATTCCTAGTGCCTGGCATTAGTGTTGGAAGAGAATTTTCTGCATAAAGGTGAAATGTCTAAATAGCACAGAATAATTTTAAATATTTATCATGTTTTTCCATGCTTCTGCTTTGTTTCATGTTCATATACTCCAAGTCTATCATTTTTGTATTCATACAATGAAGAGATGCATTTTTTGCAGCACAGGTGCTTTTGCAATGAAAGATAATGAAATCAGATAAGATTTCACTGCAGAATAAAGCAAAAAGTTGCAAGAAAAGAATCAAAAAGAAATAAGATCTTCAGCAGAAAAGTGATGCTAGTAGAAGTCTCTGAACTATAATG